GACATAGCGCAGAGCAATCTCCCCCAAGCTCTCCCCCTTATTGCAAAAAGCCCAGACTTTGGGGGGAAGGGGTTTATTGCACAAGAGCTTCAGTTGCACTACTTTGATTTGCTAGTATACGACTGCATTGCCCCGAAAAGAGCACCAACATTGAGGCAGGCTAGCAGTTTCATTGTAGCTTCAAGTTCAGTGGATTAGATCCTTCCTCATTTGTTCTCTTTCGTGTATCTACCTATTTTGTTTTGGTCTCTCTTTCTGAGAGAGAGAGAGAGAGAGAGAGATGGTTTGTAGACAGAAGTGCATGACCATGTTCAGTGGCAGACCTTAGGGTCTCAAATTTCAGTGGTATCCTCTGTGAGGCCAGAATTCAGTGTCCTCGGCCTCTTACTCCCCATTCAAAAGCAGAGTTGTGATGTCCCGACACTCCACACCCAACGTTTCTGAACTGTTCATATTCCCCTAAATCTTCTCTGTCATGTTACTAGTGATCCTCTTTGTTTTATTTTGTAATGTGGATTGTGTTTCGGAGCATTTCTATTGCCATTCTGGTTTGCAGTGCCGCACCCGTCAACAGTGGCATATAATGTTGTGTTAGCTGGAGATTGGAGCAGTCCCCTTTTCTGTATCTTCTGTGGTTAATCCACAGTTGGCTGCCATTATCAGCCACACAGGGGAGCCTGTTAAGGCTGGGCATAGTGTGTGAAGTTACAATAGTAACAACATCGAGACTTTCTTCAGTACTGTCTCTGTGGTCTGGAGGTTATCACATGCATGCTCATTTTCAACGTGCCTCATCTGCTTACACAAAGGAAGACCCTGCAGTACAAAATCACACACCAAGCTAACCCACGCATGGTCCCCATCAAGAACATGTGTGCAACAGCAAATACTGCGTGTTTTCAAGTTGCCATAGGCACTCCTAGGTAGAGCCATCCCCACTTCCCCTTCCTTTAAAAACCACCAAGCTCTGGGTAGGAAAGAAGCCCGAGACATGGTATTTCCTAGTGATATGAGAAGTGGAAACAATCTTACAGACTCCCTCCTTGCTATAAATGGTAAAAAAGGTAAAGGACCCCTGGATGGTTAAGTCCAGTCAAAGGCGACTATGGGGTTGCGGCGCTCATCTCGCTTCAGGCCAAGGGAGCCGGCATTTGTCCACAGACAGCTTTCCGGGTCATGTGGCCAGCATGGCTAAACCGCTTCTGGCACAATGAGACACCGTGATGGAAACCAGAGCCCACAAAAACGCTGTTTACTTTCCCGCCACAGTGGTACCTATTTATCTACTCGCACTGGTGTGCTTTTCAATTGCTAGGTTGGCAGAAGCTGGGACAGAGCAACAGGAGCTCACCCCGTTGTGTGGATTCAAACAGCCAACCTTCTGATCAGCAAGCCCAAGAGGCTCAGTGGTTTAGACCGCAGCACCACCGGCTCCCCCCTCTCTTTGCTATAATCCCCAGCATCTCTCCTTGGCAGCTTGCAGCATAACAAAATGGACAGGCAATGTAAGTGAGACCAGATTCTATGGATCGTAAAACTTAATCAAACGGAAGGACCCGACAACGTCTGAAGCAGAGGCATAGCTGGGTTATCTGCTCCTCCCAGCAGAATGTGACCGGAGGGTGGCAAGGCCAGCAGTTCTCCAGCACCATGCCAATTGAGTCTTGCAAGGATGCTAGTCCCTCAGGTATGTTGAGTGGACTATGGAGTTAGTCTGATATCTGGGCCAGGCTGGATCTGCACAGAGGCCCCACTGTGCGGTGCAGCAGGCCTCTTAGACCCTTTCTAGCAACCTGGCAGGTACTTAAACTGCAGCCTTCCAGCTCCCACCTCCCTTCCTCTCATCTTGTGGTATTTTATGTCAGGAGGGCAGTTGCTGTGTTTTCCTGGCACTGCCGCCAGCATGGAAATAATAGCTGCATCCCAATGATCCCTTTCGGGACTGGGCCTAAGTATTGTCTATATGTCAAAAACCGCACAGATGGCGTAGCACAAGTACGCAAACATTGCTTACTTGAAGACAATGATCTTTGTGTGCCAACAGCACAAGTCTTGCCAAGCTTTTTCAGAGGGAGCTTTGCAAAGGCAGAGTTAATGCTGTGCGGAGGCTGGCAAGGACAATGAGGAAGTCTTGTAGATGCTGAGGGGAATCTAGTTCCCTGTATAAAGGGCAGCAAAGGAGAACAGGCAGAAGTGGCCGTTATCGGCAATTTCTTAACAGGTGCTTTGTCAAGGCTGACACTGGTATCTTATCACTTGTTCTCTTCCTCCTGCTTAACAACTGAACCTGAGACTCTTACCTTTGGCAGCAAACACAAGGAAAGGCGACGTGTTTAGAAGGCTCCATCTTACTTTGCGCGAGATCTCTAGATGGTTTCTAGTGTGTCATCTCTTGCGAACGCTGCTCTGAAGTACCTATTCCTTCATTCAAGACTAGCCCCTGCGATGTTGCTTGGCGGTATCCAGGAAGAAGAGGACTTGAAAGATTGAATGTTTACCTATGTGACACATGGCTCTGTTGTCAAGGTACACGGGCAATTTCCTCAAGGGTCTGATAGAGACTTTGATTCTTACACTGTTAAGAGGATTGACTCGTCTGTACCTGGGTCTTGTAACGCTGTCGTCTTCAGTAAAGATCTCCGAGTGCTGACCCTTTCTTGAGGATGCTTGAGGAATTCAGTCTTTGTGAATTTCGAGATGGACTAATGTGCGGACAGCAGCTTAACCCTTTGCTGGATTTCACACGTCTACAAATCTTACAACACAGATTATGGCAGTTTAAGCACCGCAGAACACTTTATAAATATGTGTTTTGAGAGCGCATGCTTGCAGCTGTGCACCGAAACACATATTTCAGTGTGATTGATGTGCAGATGAAAGACCAATGCAGAGGCTTTGCCAACTCCAGATGTTTTGGCCCTCAACTCCGACCAGCCTATTTTAAAAGTATTTGTATATATCTTTTTTCCTTCTACCACAATAAACATTTTTAAAAATCCACAACAATGTCTTCACAAGGTTACAAAACACAAATTAAGCATGTGTCACACAACTGTGTATAATTTAAATATTTGGTCGAGTCTCTCCAACAGCAGCATTGATGTCTCAGTGACCTGAGGTATTCTGCTTCACCCCCATATATTGGAAAAAAGAGTACAGGCCTTTCTAAAGTTATCATGCTCTACACGCACGATCTACATTATGAAGTGTCAACATACATAAAAGGGAGGTGTCCTTTTTGTGCATTGTGCTGAGCATGTGGACACTAGAGATGGGACTGGGAGAACCAGGAAGCACAGACTAAACATTTTGAAGGGGATGCGATTACAGCCCTACTTTTTGCAAAAAAAAGGCCTCTGTACTGGCTATGTTTGTGAAAGGCACCATAACCCCTTTGCTTAAAGTGACATTGCACTGAACATTTAAATGGTCTGAATGTTATTTATTTCTCTTACAATTTTATAAACTGCTTCACAGCTTCAGGCCATCAAAGCAGCTTAAACAAAGATGAAAATAAGATAGAACTCAAGAAGTGCAAATTCTAAAAACATTTCTACGGGCATTCATCAGTGACTGAGTCATAACCAAGGGAAACAAACATGTCGTCCTGCGTGATTAATACCATGGTGCCTCATTTTGACCTTATGGTCAGAGCGGAAGGAGAAGTGAAGTTACTCACCTTTTCTCTAAACCAAAAAGTCCTAAATGCTGCAACATTTCTTCATAGGGGAGATGCCCAATTCCCTTCATCATTTGAGTTGCCCCTTTTTGAACCTTTTCCAACTCTACAATATCCTTGAACTGAGATGAACCTGTGAAAGAAGCAGAAAAAAGGTCTATCTCTGATGTACGAAGCAAATATATTTACAAATACATTTGCAAAAAACGAACAACCCACAACCATTCAGGGTTTGGCACAACACTAACTTCAAGCGACTGTTCATCTGTGTTGATAATATTTTGACAGTTCTTGTGAGGTATAAGTAGTATCCACAATAAATGTGCTTAAGACGCATCTCTTCCCCTCCCTTTAATCTTATTTGCGACTTCTTTAGTTTGACTCTTTCTTTCCGTCAAAGATGGGCTCTGAAAGCAGCATACAAACTCCAGCTGCAAAGGGTCTGGAAACCTTGCCGGGGAATCATGTGTCACCTCCCAGAATCTTCTCTGCCCCCTCCCTTCAGCTGTTGCTAAAATCTGAAAGGCTCAGCCTGGAAGCGCTGTTTAAAAAAACAACAAAGGGGAATTGAAGTAAGCTGGAGATACTTTGCAAGGAAGCGCAGACATGATGGGTATCCTTAATTTTCCAGCATGGAGGCTTCTGGGATCATTAGCAGAAGCGGAGCTGTGCCAAAAGGCATCTCCGGCATCACATTAACGTCAAATGGGTCAGAAATAAACATCTCCAAAAAAAAGTGTCACCAACTAAACGGCCAGCATCGCTCCCCGCAGCCCTTCCGTTTTGCTTTGAGGCTTCTCATCGAAATGCGGATTTGGGCCAGCTTTGCTTTCCGCGTTGGAGAGATGCACAGATCACAGCCCCAGGTGGTAACGCCCCGGGGCATGTTTCATAGTTAATGCTTGCATTATGTTGCGATATTTGTATCTTATTATACTAATGACACTGAAAATTTGCAAATATTTTTTAATGAAAGCTCTTTAAAATACGAGGAGGCCTCAGGATATACCTTCTTCTGGTGAGGGTCCTGGATCCCACTGGTACCATTTGGAGGCAGAGGGTTGAGCTCGCAGCCATAACACGCAGGGAAAACGCCTCAAGCCGCCACTCTTTCACTAGGCCGCCCTAAGAGTAGATGGCGTCTGACAAAAGGACTTTGAACAGCACATGGTTCCACAACCAGCTCTTAGGGGGAGGAGAGTGGTGACCCTAAAGAAGGACACACCACAAGGTGGGCGGGGGGGAGAGAGACACACAGAGAGAGAGAGGAGGAGGAGGAGGAGGAGGAGGAGGAGGGATGTGAGGGGAAAAAAATTAATAAGCCTCATCTAGCTTACTTGATAGAGCATGAGACTCTTAATCACAGGGTCACGGTTTTGAGCCCCATGTTGGGTAATTTTTTTCAGCATTCTAGGGAGTTGCACTAGTTAGTAATAGTAATAGTAATAGTAATAGTAAATAGTAATAATAATAGTATTTATTATTTATTTATTTATTTATTTATTTATTTACCTACCTACCTACCTACCTACCTACCGCCCGCTCATCTGGCTCAGTTTCCCCAGCCACTCTGGGCGACTCCCAACAGAATATTGAAAATGTGATAAAACATCAAACATTAAAAACATCCCTAAACAGGGCTGCCTTCAGATGTCTTCTAAAAGTCAAGTAGTTTTTATTTCCTTGACATTGGATGGGAGGGTATTCCACAGGGCAGGTGCCACTACTGAGAAGGCCCTCTGCCTGGTTTCCTGCAACCTCGCAGTGAGGGAACCGCCAGAAGGCCCTCAGAGATGGACTTCAGTGTCTGGACTGAACGATAGGGGTGGAGACACACCTTCATGTATACTGATACTCATGGTACCTTCCAACTCCATGATTCTATGATTGCTGTATTTGTGGCGCACAACGTCTGCAATCAACATATTTCAGTCATATCAGTTTGTTGTAAGGGAAAACTACCGGTACTTCCCGCATACCTGCCTATTCGACCACCTGGATCTGTGGAACTGGCTCTTCCACAAGTACCACACGGTGCTGGTTCTGCACTTGCAAGCAATCGATCCTTCAGAGTGACATTGACTAATCTCTGGAACTCCCTGCCTGTGAATTCCAGATGGGCGGGGTACAAATAATAAATTATTATCATTATCATTATTATTATTAATGCCAGGATCTGATAAAACCTTTTGTTGTTGTTGTTGTTTAGGCAAACCTTCCCAAACATATAATTTTTAGCATGTGATTTTATTGTGCCTACTGGTTTCAAAATTGCTGGTTTTATTTAAGTTTTGTGCCATTTTGGTATTTGTGTGTGTAGGGGGTGTTACATTGTATGTTTTTAACATTTGCTTTTATTGGCATTTTTTTTAAAAAATGAAGATTCTATCTATACAGTTTTATGTAAACAAAAGTTTTTTGATGATTAAGCAGGATATAAATAGTGTTAAATAAAACAAATAAGTACTTCTGGGCCAGTTGTGAGAAAACATTGCCCCTCCAGATGTTGCTGAATAAATAACATCAATAACAATAACCATATGCTGGCCATCTGACTTGGTTTCCCCAGCCTCGACAGCTGAAATACAATTTACATCATCCCTGGCCATTGACTTGCTAGAGCTGAGGGGAATGGTGGTTGAGCAACATCTGGAGACGAATTATGCATCTAAATATGTGTTTTGTGATAAAAAGTGCATTTAAATGAAATTTTTTGAATGGAGTAACAAGAAGGAATTCTCTGTTCCATGTGGAAAGAGGAGGAAACTGACCCATGAATAAGTACATCTGAAATTTATCCAGATTCATCCATCCTTTCTTTAGCATATCAGAAAGGCGAATTCCGTATCTGATTCTACATTCTGCACCGTTTCTGTGCTCCTGAAGAACCATCTCAACCTGGTGATTAGTCAACGAATGGAGAGAAGGCAGTTTGCATGTCCTCCATTTCCATGCCATTTTTTATCTGGGGAACGGTCCTATTTATGGGGCTCAGGCCTTGGGGTTTCCTTCCATGCCCATCCCTTGTCCTAACCCTTTGCCAAGCCCTGAGTATAACCACCCCTTTCTTTGTTTCCGTTCCTCCCCACTTTTGCCTCCGGGATAATAAGCAAGGGGAAAGTCAAGTCAAAGAAATGGTCTCAGCTGCTTGGAGTTTTCGCAGCCTGTCATCTCTCTGACTTGGAACTCCATTTCAAACATGATTAGCTAATTCATATTTCACATTAGTTTACTTATTTATTCATTTTTTTGTGTAGATCTAATTTTTTCCAGTTAAGAACTGTGTAAATAGCCCTAATGAGCCTTGAGGGCTCTCATTTGCTTGGAGAGATTAAAACAAGCTGGGAAGTCTCCAAACACGTGAGCCTTTAGGTAAAAAGGCATCTCTCACCTAGCAGTGATCAGATTGCTCATCTTTTAATCATTTAGCTGCCTTACACAGCCCTTGTTGACACTGCGGCATAAAGAGCTCAACACAGCCCGCAAAACTCTTCACTATATGCTGCCTTTAATAAATCTTGGCTTTCATCCTTGGTAATTGCTAACCCAAACATAACAGAGGAAACTTCCAATCTAAAATCCACTCCTATCTGGCAAGAAAATATATGGCCAGACTTCATGAACATTGCATGAGTCCCAGACGTATGCGATCAGGATTGCCCTATTTCATGGGGGAATGGCTGCAGCTCATTGGTGGGACATCTGCTTGGCTTGAAGAAGGTTCCAGGGCATCTCCAGGTATGGCAGGGACAGACCCCTTTCCTAAAACTCTGGAGAGCTGCCAGTCAGTGTAGACAATGGCATACTCCACAAACATCCTGGAATAACTGGGACAACCCATTTTTTCTTGTAAGAATGGCAGCCATTTTGGATGCCGTGATCTCACGTCATTTCACCCCCCCCCAAAGAAACCATTTTTTCAGGGCCACAATCTCACAACCTATTTTTTTGGGCGCCATGCCTGAAAAAGCACTTGGGGGGGGGGGGAATTGTAATGTGAAATCATTCAAGATCACAGTGTCCAAAATGGCTGCTGTTCTCTCACAAGAAGAAGTGGAAAGATGGCATCCCAGAAGACTGTGTCCTGGAATTTGCCGTTGAGGCATTGGAGGGTATGCAATGCTGAGCTAGTGGGACCAGTAGTGTGCCTCTTTGTAAGAGAGCTTCCTATGGAATCTACAGCAGGGCTTTCTTTTTAAAGTAGAGGCAATTTCCATAGGAACAACTTATTCTAGCACTGCCCACTTTTCTTCTTAATGAGATCTGTTGCACACAGAAGCCTCTCAACACCTTTAGTGGCTACTAGCGCCACCAGCCACTACAGGCTGCAGTCCTTCCTCCCAGCTCTCGCCTTGCAACAGGCTCCTCAACAAGGACATGGTTACCTTTTCAATCACATATAAATACATTTATATAAATACATTTATATGTACTTGAAAATCATTCTCTCTGTCTGTCTCTTACTCTTACTCATGTTATGTGCAAGTTAATAATTTTTAAAAAATGCCTCTGTTTATTGCTGGCATATCACCAGGTTGAAACTGAAAATAACGTTGAAGAAAAGTTTTAATCCTCCTGCAGCCTTTAATAATAAGAGGTACTAAATTCTTGCGCCCCTCTGTCCCGACTCTTTAAAACAACCAACCAAAAATAATGTCTTTTCCCCCTGGTAAAAACTGGAGGGAAATCATTTTGCTAGCTCTAGGTGACTATCTTTTTATTGGGAGTTTTAGGGGGCTGAGAAGGTAGTGGATTTTTGGGGAGCCAGGCCTTTCCCTGTCACCCTCTTTCTCCAAACCACCTCTGGCACATCCTGTTCTTGGCCCTACATATATTAGACTTCTGACACTGACAGGGCTGCAAAAGTTTCTGCAGTGACAAGGAGGGGGCATCCAATATGGAGTCTCCCTCTCTGATATTGAAGTTCTCTCTCTTTCAGGGCCCAAAGTTTCCCATGACCTTTGGAGTGTTCTTGCATGCACCATAGGATTGTGGGGCCCACCCCCATAATTGCCTAGAGTTTTTGCACCGTCCCATCACCATTTTCCTATTTTTGTCCTCTTTTAGCTAGGGATGTTCAGAGTCAAAGCTGGAACCTTCTGCCCAGCAGATCAATTATGGCTGGACTGTGGGGTGCAGCTCCAGGCTCTGACAGCCTGGACAGGCTCCCAAGCTTATGGAGGTGACAGCAGTGGCAGATGATGGGGTCAGCATGGTGACAGTGTGACATGGATGTTGTACCAGCACCCAGTATGGGCGGTCATGTGCAGGGGCTGCAGAAATTTGCAGGAACATGCTGCACCCAGGAATTCTTTAGTTGTGATTCCTGCCCTAAAGGGGTTGGACTAGATGACCCTTGGGTCCCTTCCAACTCTACAATTGGAGCACACTTCAAAGTGTTGGTGCTGACCTTGAAAGCCCTAAATGGCCTCGGCCCAGTATACCCCCCCCCAGTCTCCACCCCCATAGTTCTGCCCAGACACTGAGGTCCAGCTCTGAGGGCCTTCTGGCAGTTCCCTTGCTGCAAGAAGCCAGGTTACAGGGAACCAGGCAGAGGGCCTTCTCGGTAGTGGCACCTGCCCTGTGGAACGCCCTCCCACCAGATGTCAAAGAGAAAAACAACTACAGTGGTACCTCTGGTTGCAAACGGGATCCGTTCCGGAGGCCTGTTTGCAACATGAAAAGAGCACAACCCGCAGCGGCGCGTCTGCACACACGCGGGTTGTGATTCGCTGCTTCTGCGCATGCACGTGACATCATTTTGCACTTCTGCGCATGCGCGAGTGGTGAAACCTGGAAGTAACCCTTTCCGGTACTTCCAGGTCGCTGCAGGATGTAACCTGAAAGAACGTAATGTGAAGCGAATGTAACATGAAGTATGACTGTACTTGACTTTTAGAAGACATCTGAAGGCAGCCCTCGGGTTACATACGCTTCAGGTTAAAGACGCTTCAGGTTACAGACTCCGCTAACCCAGAAATAGTACCTCGGGTTAAGAACTTTGCTTCAGGATGAGAACAGAAATTGTGCTCCGGTGGTGCGGCGGCAGCGGGAGGGCCCATTAGCTAAAGTGGTACCTCAGGTTAAGAACAGTTTCAGGTTAAGAATGGACCTCTGGAATGAATTAAGTTCTTAACCCGAGGTACCACTGTATTATTATTATTATTATTATTATTATTATTATTACAGTTCCATGATTTAAAGAGTGCCTGGTTTTGCGACAAAATCATAGACGCAAAAGCTGTGTTCAGTGTTAAAGGCTGGATAGCAGAGAGATGCAGCCTCAAAGGGCATCTAAAACAGCTCTTATCTGTGCAGTAAAATCATAGTTCTACATGATCTGCTCTGAAAGCTCCAAGACTGCATTACTCCACAAGATCCCTGTGTGCTAGGAG